TGTGACATCAGAGCCCTCACTAGGCTGGCCTTTCTCTACCACCGACCTTCCATTCCCGTGCTGATTTTGACAAGCCTTTTATTGATTTTTCTGTTTAGTATAACCCCCACAGAGAGAAATGCTTCTCATGTATATTCAAAGGCCATAAATGGCCAACTCCTGGGTGGTACCACTTCCTCCCATCCTCCCCCCACCCCTGCCCCCGCTGTTCATGTGAGCTTCTCTGCTCCATCCTAAAAACAAAATGAAGCAGGGCTTCCCACCCTGCCATTCACCCGGCAAAGAACAGTGGAGGCTTTGAAAGGCCAAAAGAAGGTTGTTTAGAAGAAAATGACAAAACTGGAAAATATTCAGTCCATAGATGGTCACCGTACATGACAGATGACCTCACTGCCTGTGCCCACGTGGCCGACAAGGTTGAGACACTGGTTTCTGCTACACAGAAGGCACAGTCTGTCCGATAATTCCTTAACACAATTAAGTATCCACAAAGAAGAAAAAAAAAAAAAAAAACAGGGCGGGCGGGGGTGGGGGGTGGGTAAGTGATTTAAACTCAACCCTGAACAACTTTTCTCATTTGGGAATGGAACGTATACCGTTAAAGGCAGGAAACATTCTCCAGAAAGAATACAGTCTGCTCTCCATACTCAAAATCTGTTCCTTAGCCTTGACTTTCACGTAGCTAAAATCAGCTCTCGCTGAGTTTGGAACTTAAAAATATTTTAAGCAGAGAAGCCTGTCTTCGGAGGGAGGGTATAAAACGCCTTCGAATACGTTTGCATCCAGGCTTTGTGTGAAGAAAATAAAGTGCTTCAACAAGTTGCATTTTTGACGATACTCAACCCGTAATAAAGGTTTGAAATATGGAGGGAGCGCCCGTTAAAATGGAAGCCCATTAAACCAAGGCCAGCTCCCCCGCCCTTGAATGTTCACTTCTGGGGGTCCCCCAGGGACAGAATGGGGCCCTCTGTCCTCGCCCTGGGGTTTGTGTTGCGTGCTAGTGTGGAGACCAGAAGCTTTAAACATATTAGTACACGGGAAAAAAAAAATAAAAGTCCCACTTCGGAAATTAAAAAAAAAAAAACCACACACACACAACATAGTTATCATCCGTCTACATTCCAGGCTAAAAAAAAAAAAAAAAAAAAAAAAAAAAAAAAAAAAAAAAAAAACTTTGACAATGCTCAAATCTATTTACTTGGTAGTTATATTTAATAGCATCATATACCTGCGTTTCTCCACCTTATAAAGCAATGGGTCATTTATCAAGTATCTCTTCTATTCTTAGATTTGGGTCAAGATTAGCTGTACTGCTGGCTCTAGGGCCCAATGTACAATAACCATGATTTTACTTAGAAAAAAATACAAAAGAGAGCAACGAGAAAAAAATATGTCAAAAAACCTTAAAAGTGGTGGTGGTGGTGGGGCCATCAAAGCACAGGCATCACTATGAAAAACCAATAATCATGAAACCTCTGCTCAAAATCACTGATTTAAAAAAAAAAAACTAACTAAAAATTCAAGCTCATTCAAATGCAGTGATTTAAAAGTGACGAATTAATTCTGCATTTGCTCCAACTGGCCCTGATTATTTTTTTACTCTTTAAAACTGCTTATTTATGTATATTCAACTAGACACATCGCTGGGTAATAGAATAGTGGACTTGTAATCTGAAAAAATACATGTATCTTGGCAGAGGCCTCGGTGAAATTCTCACGTTCTTAATTGGAGGATACATTGTTAAGATTCAAATTTTTTTTTTTCCCCCTGTTTAGGGGATGGAAGCCCACCCCGCCCCCTACCTTCTGCTCATCTACAGGGGAAAATGCATCCTGATATCTTCGGGTTGCTGTTAACCCCTTCGTGCAGCAACGACAGGCGAGAAATAATTGTGCATCCCCCCACCCACCCCCCGCCCCCCGAGAATGATCTGACGCTTTGTGTGGGCTCCGCTGTCCTGGAGGACAACACGGAGCATCTTCACTGCGAGCAGGCGGCTCTCATCCTAGCAGCTGGCGTTGCTTTGTTCTGTTCGAAAGTGAGGGCTTTAGACCCTGGTCACTGCGCCTCGGGTCAGTATCCTAAGCATGCGCCCGCGGGTCGCCTGCACGACGCCTACACAGACTGGGGACTCGGCTCCACCAGGAGAACTAGGGCGCCCCAAACTTTCTTCTTGTCTCTCTTTGTATTGTTTTTTTTTTCCTTTTCTCTGCGCCCCCTCAAATCAAGATTGAGTGCCGAGTAGGGGAAGGGAGGTGGCTCGCACCGCGTCCCGTAAGAAAACAGGTACCTGCGACGCGCCCGCGATGCTGACACCCCGCCAGGGGTGGGTCCCCTCTCAAATGCACCGCGGAGCAGCCCAGGAAAACGTCGCCCCTCGCCCGCACGCGCCCCATGACCAAATAGAAAAAAAACTCAAATCGAATCGAAAGGAGCGTCCACACCACCACCTTGCGGATGCTGCTCGCAAGAACAGCACCTGCTCATTAGTTGGATAACCGCCCCCCCAACCACCAACGCTCACCCCCGATTTAAGTTGGCTCCGAATGACAGGTTGGGCTCGGCCGTCCCCGCCCAGGCCACGGGCGCCCACGCACTGGGTTTCGGCCACTGCGCGCGCACCCGGCGCGGGGGGCCAGCTGCATCCCGGCGCACGGCGGGGGCCGCCC